ACGAGCTGGTATTAGATTGGACAAGGCTGGAATTTTTGTGGATTCTGAGAATGATTCTATTGAATGGGAAAGATCTGAAAATTTGGAAATGTTGAGACTTGAACGAGAAAAGTTAGAAAAGATTAAAAAAGAAGAATTGGAAAAATCGAGATTAGAAAAGAATTCGGATGCTCAAAATAGATTGGATAGGTTAAAGAGACTTAAAATATTTGATAGAATAAGAAAATTTGAAAAATTCGACTTTGATCATAATAAGATTAATATTGATGATGATGATGATGATAGTTTCGTTAATGATATTAATGATGAAGATAGTGTAGAAATCTTGAGAAAGCCGATGTTTGATTATCCTCTCTATCTAAAAGAGTTGAATTTCGATAAATTGTTGAAAATGATATTTGTTTGGTGTAACAAATATCGAGGTCCCGTTAAACCGAATTTTTTCTATACGAATTCTGATAATTTTCAACAAAAGAAGTCTACATTCCCCGAACTTGACAACTTTCCTGGTCTTACGTTCTTTGAAACTATTTTTAAGGATCAAGCTTCTCTATCTGAAACCAAAATTTCTCCTCAAACGAATTCTATAACTTTCCCTGTAAATTCTACTAAACCGACTTCTGTAAATTTTAACGAATCAAATTCTACTGTATCGACTTCTCTTACAAATCCCACTAATTCAACCAACAAACATGAATTAGTATTGAAATCCCTTTTAAAATTATTCGCTGACAAGCGAGCTCCGATAACACACTTCTCCATGAGTAACGTGCCTACCTTATTACTTAACGACAATTACTTTGAAAATTTAAGAGCAATAAATTTTGGTGCGGTGCTGATGGATACGAGTATGCGACCGTTATTTGAAGGTATTCGGTATATGAATTTAGAATGGGATGCGTTTACGTTAGATGGATTTTTGTACGCTCTTGGAAATGTTTGCAAAAATTTGGTAAGCGAATTTTTATAAATTTTTGAAATATTGATATTATTTATTTTATTAGTTTATTAGAGAACGAAAATTGTAATGAAATTGTAGACAGACATATATATATATATATATATATATATATGGACGCTTTTTTAGTAGAAAAGGGGGTTCTATTTTTAGATCTGATCAAAAACTTTGAAAAAGTCACGTTTGTACATTCTTTGATTACAATATTAATCAATGCAATTCGAACTTACATCGATCGATGTGATCAAAAGTGCAAAAGCGTGACTTTTTCACTGTTTTTAATCGGATCTAAAAATAGATATTCCGCGCCCGTAAATATATATATATATTAATTTATTTATTATTATTTTTGTTTTGTTATTTGTTTTATTATTATTATTATATTATCATTTATTATTATTATTATTATTATTATTATTATAATTTAAGTTCACAAAACACGATCCATTTTTCGGTATCATAATCTCACGATTTCGTATTATAATAGGATTCCTTATCAACAAACTTTGCACATGATCCAGCAGCCGCCTCTCTATTTCTAAACAAACAACAAGCCACTGATCTAGCGATATTTATTAGTTCTCAAACACGCCTATCCTCATTCATTCTCAAAAATTTCCAATATTTCACGAATTACTTTTTGGAATCCTTAAATACTCAGATTAATTCCCTAAAACGACTCGAATTTTACGCCGTAGACTTTGAAGGTTGTACTTTTGAAGTGGTGGCAAGTTGTAAACAATTAGAATATTTAAGTATTATCGAATGTATGAATATTACTTTCGAAATGTGTGTACCATTATTTTATACTAAATTTTCCAGACTAAAACGTGTTGAAGCTATGGATTGTAGTAGATTTATTGAGAAAAGAATAGTATATGATGAGGATGATTTTGAAATTCTCCAAGAGAAAAATGATATAGATAGTGATGACGATGATTATTTTAGAATTGATTCATCATTATCTATGCCTTCAATACGGAATGGTGGTGTAAGTGAGCACTTAACTGTATTAGCACTTAGAAGGGATCCATCAATGGAGTATCATACATTTAAAACTTCAACAATTTTATTACGACCAACGTCTTCGTCTCGAGATGAATATAAATATTCAAAATTCGATCGGAAAATACCTGCTTCAACAAAACATCACATATTGCTACATTCCACCGATCCAAATTTCTCGACATCACTTCCTATAGAACTCCTTAGTTGGGCTCATTCAAAAAATCACCCGGTTCCATGGTATCATTTTGATCTCTCTCTTTCTAATATTCTTTCTTATTTTACCTTTGAGAATATAAGAGATTTCTTTAAAATGTTATATTATACAGTATTATTCCTTATAGCTTTATATTTTATCGTGCCTTTTTTTGTGGGGATTGCAAATATAGCTGGTCAGTTCATTAAATGGAAGATCGAGACGTGGATTGGGGTGAAAATTAGTGGGGGTGGCGGTGGAGGAGGCTGCGGTATAGGGCGATGTTGTGGTGCGGGAAATATGGATATTATTTAATTATTTATAACAATAAAAATATCAATAATTATATATCAGTAATTAAATTTTTGTTACTTAATTTTTTACGATTTTTAATTATTCATGAATTTCATGAATTTCATATTTCATGAATTTCGTTTTAAGTAACCAAATTATATATATATATATTATATACTTTTTTTTTTTTTTATGTAAAAAAACATCATTCCGTTTTTTATCAAAGATTACATTTCTTTTTACACATCTAAATTTGTCGTTTACAATGTTATCAAACATCTATAAGCATGTTCGCTACAATCACATGAATTATATGATTTTCGTTTGATACAGTATAAACTATACTGATTTTCGTAAAATCCTTTTTTAGTAGGAGTAATGATTTTCATTTATCATTTTTAGAAAGAGTTGATTTTTGCATGCTGTATAGCATAGCTATACGCATACTGTATATCATTTTATCATTATGATGTAATTTCTGACAGCAAACACCATGTGAAATAGCTCTGTTCAGCTTTTTCGAAGTTGCCTATTCTAACTTAATAGAAATAACTGATATCGTGGAACCTGCGAAGTGATGCAACAGAATGGGACTAGCCGAAGGAACATATAAAGCTAATGATAGTATCATCATGGGACAGGAGTTGATAACGATGAACACGATGCATTCGAATTATGCATTCGAGAGAAGGCTTTTTGCCGCCCGCGCAGTAAATTCGAATAATCATTTACTGTACTGAATAAGCCATTTTTTGAAATTGAGCTAAATTATGCAGAAGCGTTAGAAAGCCGAAAAGAGTAAGCATAAGGAAATCAGATTAATCCAAACGAAACATTTGAACGTTATTTGAAATGTCAACCTGAGTGAACAATACGATCTTGTGAACAATACAATACGATCTTGGATCCTGCTTCAAAATGGCAGTCACAGTCAAGAATTTACTGTAGTGGAGATGATAATCTATAAAAAAGGTTTTGAATATCTGAAAAAGGCATTAATATGGGGGTCGTCTAAAGCCATGTACCCACGTGACTTTTTTGTGTAAATCAACCAACCGGGATCGCGAAAGTTTGTTTACACGGATCAGCCAGAAGAAGTTAAAAAATAAAGAAAATGCAAAAATATGAAAAACTACAGTCTAAACCTGTCTTGAAGCATTAACAAAAAATGTCGGGAAGACGATTTTACCTATAGACTACTCTGCCTCTAACCCCACCCTAACGCCAAACTATTTCTATTTCTAATTTTAATCAAAACTTCGAAAAATTACGTGGGTACATGGCTTTAGCCATCCCCTTAATATGGAAGTTCGTTCAATTGATGTAAATCCAGCGATCGAGAATGAATTTGATGATAATACTACGTGATTGGGAATTAATTTGGAGGATCAATGTTGTAGATTGAATGAATGTGAAATGTAGGTTTTACGAACAATGAAAGTAGTGGTGCAGTCGCGACGTGTAAAATAGACAGTGATGAAGAAGGGTGGTAGTTAGTAACTGTGGAACATACCAAATTGTGGGGAAATTAGTGATTTGCCTCTTAGCTTCATTAATTCATTTGTAATAAAGTTTCAGAGAGTGTAATTACGTTGTTAGTATATTTAAAATAGCGTTATTATGTTCTGCGTCGATCACAATTCTAATTGACACGTGTTATTAAATAACTCAAGTCATTTTTAATGCAATTATTATTAAATTATACTATCACTATCGTTATGATAAATCTGATAAATCAGTAATGAAAATAAAAATAATTAAAATTTTCATAACTTCTTTTCTTCAACAGCAAAGAAAGAATAAGCACTATTTAATAGATTAAAATCACTAAGATGAACGTTTGAACGTATTAAAAACTTACTTTTAGAATCCTTTATACTGGTACAACTGAAGAGCATCATTTAGTTAAGCATAACTTTAGGGATTCGATCCGATATCCGAACTATCCGGATTGATCCTCAAATCCGTTCAATCCTAGGATATCCTTATCCGAAGTTTTTAAAAAGGATGATCCAATCTTGTAGATCCCTTAATTAAATCATTACCCTGAAAACATTACACTTGACCGATCGATATACAGTAGTATCCAAAAATCGGGAAGGTTAGTTTAATTTACGTATAATTTTCACGATGGTAATTTGCGCGATGAATAATTTACTAAATGATGCCAAGTATGTACAGTACGTACAGTACGTACCAGGTACGTACAGGAACGTATGTATGTATGTACTGTACGTACGTATGTAAATGGCCTGTCACTATGTATTAGCTATCGCAACTACCATATTGCCCAATCATACAGCTTTTATTTTGCTCCGTACTGTAGTTATAATTTGATTGGTTAATAAATAATACTGTAATATCCCGAACTACATATCGGGTATGTATTATATTACTGGCAGATTAATTACAGTAAAAATGATAAATGATAATCATGCAGGTTCTATTAGCTGCAGATATTATTTGATACTACTATAAAAAGACAACGTTATTAAACTTTTTTAACCCAACTCGAAAACTCTATATTCGATATTATAAAAAAAAAAGATGTCTCCTACTCACGCTGAAGTTGAATCATTGAAGGCCAGATATACTGTTGCTGGTCAAGAACACCTTTTTACTTTTTATGAAAATCTTACACCTGAAGAACAAACTGCTCTTTTTAACCAACTTAATAAACTTGATATTGAACGTGTTAATCAAATTTTTAAGAAAGCCGTTTCTTCGTCAGGAAATTCTTCTGATACTAAAAAACAAAATTTAGAAACTTTACCTGATGATGTATTTGATTCTGTATTAGATGCAAATGAAGATAAGATTAAAGAATGGGAAAAATTAGGGTTTGATATGATTTCTCAAAATAAAGTTGCTGTCATTTTGATGGCTGGTGGTCAAGGAACTAGATTAGGTTCATCAGCTCCAAAAGGTTGTTATGATATTCATTTACCATCTGGTAAATCCTTATTTCAACTTCAAGCTGAACGAATTTTAAGATTACAAAAAGTCGCTCAAGATTTTACGAATTGTAAAAATGATGTGATAATTTCGTGGTATATAATGACCAGTGGTCCGACAAGATCTGCTACTGAATCTTTTTTCAAACAAAACAATTATTTTGGATTAAAAGAAGAGAATGTTATCTTTTTTGAACAAGGTAAAAATAAAATATATAATTCGTGTTTCTTCCCAGTTGGTATTGTTGTTTGTATCATGAAACTGATTATTGTTATTGATAATTTGTTGAATTTTACAATCAGGTACTTTACCCGCATTGACCTATGAAGGAAAAGTATTTATGGACACAAAATCTTCTGTATGTATCAAATAATAATGGGTTATAACTTCAAATATACTTATACTAATGTTTTATTATTTTTTAAAAAATTGTTTAGCTTGCCGTTGCACCTGATGGTAATGGTGGAATGTATGCTGCCTTACGAAAGGAAAAAGTTCTTGAATCAATGAAATCAAGAAATATTTGTTATGCTCACGCTTATTGCGTTGATAATTGTCTTGTTCGCGTTGCTGATCCAATTTTCGTTGGTTATTGTATTTCTAAAAACGCTGACTGTGGTGCCAAAGTCGTTCGTAAAATTGATCCACATGAATCTGTAGGTGTTATTGCTCTTCGTGATGGCAAATTTAACGTAGTAGAATACAGCGAAATTGAACCTGCTGTCGCCGAGCAGAGAAAACTTAATGGTCAACTTACCTTTGGTGCTGCTAATATTGCAAACCATTTCTATTCAGTTGACTTTTTAGATCGTGTAGAATCATTTGAAAGTGAACTTGAATATCATATAGCAAATAAGAAAATCAAACATATTGATATTAACACCGGTGAATTAATTGCTCCATCCAAACCAAACGGTATGAAACTTGAACTTTTCGTCTTTGACGTTTTTCCTTTCACAGAACGTATGGCAGTTCTTGAAGTTGAAAGAAAGGAAGAGTTCTCACCTTTAAAGAACGGTCCGGGTACCGCGTCTGATAATCCCGAAACAAGTCGAAGGGATATCATAAACCAACATGTGAGATATGTTGAAAAAGCTGGCGGTACAGTCACACCAGGTGATGGTGATTCACCTGGTAATCTTACATTTGAAATTTCACCGTTGGTTAGTTATTCTGGTGAGGGGTTAGAAAAATTAAAGGGGAAAACTATCAAAACTCCTTTGATTCTTGATACTCCGGATGATTTAGATAAATGTTAAATTACTTAGTTTATGAATACTTGATAAGTAAACTTTGATTCTTATTTATTCTGTTTATGATTATTCCTATATTTTATAGGTAGTTTATAGTCTTTGTTCGCGTTTCTTTAGATTTTATAATTTATACATAAATCAGCTAGTGTTTTTTTCAGTACCTACGGGCATACACTAAAATCTTGAAATTAGATTAATAAAGTACTTATTATTATTTATTATTATTATTATTATTGTTGTGTTTTAAATACAATATTGGATATAGTTGACTTATTAAAACAACAAATCACTAAATTCAAGGCTAGAGTGTGAGAGTGTAAAAACACGAAAGTACAAAGTTAAAACAAGATCATAATCTTAAGGACCAATCCTATTACGTAAAAACCTTGTGCATTATTCATAGAGATTTAATTAACAAAACTAGTGTCATGGTGATAAACGGTATGCAGTGAACATGTTTTAAAATAAGGGTAAAGGCGATCGATCGATTAGTGTCTTGTACATGTGATCACGTGATGATCGATCGGAAGTAGGGACGGTCGGTAGATATTTGAGATGCCGAAGTAAGATAATTAATATATCATGGTTGAATCAATTACATATCGATAAGTGATACGAAATAGTTTATTATTAAGTTATGCATGAACAATCGAATAAAGTATGTAATCAATTTAAGAGACAATGGTCGTATGATCAATATATGATGTAACGATCAGAGTCAAATTATGTATATAAGGATCGAAGCGAAAGAAATAATAGAGAGTTAGTCAATTGAATAATAAAATCCGTGAATAGTAAAAGCAAACTTAGTACTTTCCTTATGTGAATATATTAATATACATTAATAACCGTTGAGTGCTTCCCCATTTGAGTTAGGTTATTTTGTTGATGAAAGTCACTAATTAACCCGCGACACTAGGGTCCGGAATGGGCTGGCTTCAATAGGGCCCATACTTAGACCCACAAAATATTTATGAGCCTGTCATATCTAAAGTTACTATCTATCTACTTTAGATATATAGGGAATTTATATCTAAAATTATCAATTTCTAAAAATTTTCTTATTATATTATAGTTTGTGATACATAGGAATGGCAGGTGGAATACAGTATTTCGGAATTTCACAACTCTGGCCTGCAGTAGCAATAAACTACTATAATGTGGGCCGCAGTAGATCAAAAAAATATTTGATCCGCTTATTCCTAGTGATACATCTTTTATTTTTAATAAAAATTTTATACAAACTTAACTTATTTAACTTCTAATACATACAGTATATGACTAGTCTGTATTGGATATTAATGCCATGATAAATTATGTGACTTGGTGTAATTTGATTCCTACTTTTATATTTAATAATATTCTTCAAAACAATCGGCAAATTTATAAATTATTAAGTATTTTAACAAAACAAAAGATGAACTTATAAAAATCTTTTAAATTTATTAATTTATTTAAAATTTATCTAAAATTTATTAAATTTATCTAAATTTTGTTTAAATTTGTTGTTATCAGAAAAAATTTTGAGTTTTTAAAACTAAAATTTTATGGGTCTCTGTGTTCTTGCCAAGAATCCATTCGACAAGCTTGTATGCAAATTTACAATGTTGATCCTTCCTAGTAACCACAACCTCCAGAAATTCTAATAAATCATCATTAACTTGTGGTTCTAGAGAAATGTTGTACTCTCTTATATGTTTCTAATCAAGTTTACTGAAAAGATTCATGATAGTTTCATTATTTGTGTCAACTATGAAGCTATGTAAATAGCTAAGAGTATAATTTTATAATTAGATTGCAATTATAACAAACCCTATTTAATATCTTCTTGTTCAAAATGGATATAAGGCTAGGGTGTTCAATAAACTAATTAATCAAAACATAGTTAGAGTCATTAAGTTCAGATTTTTTTTTTTTTCCTGTTAAGATAACTTCTATGTCGGCGATTTATTATTAGAATATCATATTGTTACAATTGTAATGAAAGTACATATAAGAGGTGTGGCGACTTAGTGAAGTGGTCTAGTTGTTACCCTCACCAAACGTTATGGAAAGATCCCATGTTCAAATTCCAGAGACGGCGCTTTTGTAATATGGAAAAAGTCTGCAATGATCTTCACTAAGGTTGGCCCATAGAGAATCTGTCGAGATGGTGTCTGGTGGCACCGTTGAGGTGATTCCGGAAGGCTGTAATCTGTGGGCTGTGTATAGCATGGGTCACAGGACCAGAGATCGAAGCCCGTTTGGGAAGTCCCGAGTTGGGAGGTAGCAGTGATCTTCG